TTAAGTCTTTTTTTTTTTTTTAAATATTTATTGATTGATTGATTGATTGATTGATTGATTGTGTGGCCAGCTCAGCCCACCAGGGGGCGAGCAGGCCGGCATGTGGTGCTGGGGGATTGAACCGAGGTCTCTGTGCTTTGCTTGAGCTTAGCTTGTTCTAAGTAGATGCTTTAGATCACTGAGTCATCTCACCAGCCCATAAAGAGCCAGGTGTTTCTTAAGTGATAGCTAGACTCTTAGTGATATGGTGGCAAATTGGGGAGAAAGACATTTTTGAACATCATGATTGATGTATGATTTGTTTCCTTTTAATCATTTTTAAAAATTGCATTTGTGTGTGTTTATTTTTTGTTTTTTGTTTTTTGTTTTGCTTTCTGAGACAGTCTAGGTTGGCCTCAAAGCCATCAGGTCCTCCTGCCTCAGCATGCCAAGTGTGTGCCATTAAAGGTGTGTACCACTAGGCCTGATCACTTTCTGTTGTTGTGTAGACTTTATATAATATGTATCAGTATTTGTTAAAGTGAATATAATAATTACGCTAATTTAAGTAAGAATTTTAAATCTTTAGTATATCTACAAATGTAATTGAAGTGAGAAAGATGGGTGAAGAAGGGGATAGAGGGCATAGCTCAGTGTTAGAATCCTTGCCTAGAATGTATGAGTCTGGGTTTGATTCCCCAGTAGTATAAAATTTTTTAAAAGTAAAATCTTTCTATTCAGGAAAGATAAGTGAATAAAAAAAGATAAGTGAGAAAAATGACAAAGGGAGGCTATAGGGAAGTGGTACGTATAGTGAAATCGTACATATTTCAACATTTTAGAATATGTCCCAGTATATAAAAATAAGATGGTACGATGTTGTAGTCAGGATTTGCAAGGGAATAGATTTAATACAGGACACATAATTTATACGATTGTTTTATAGCATTAAACCAAAAAGTCATATACAGAAGAGTGCAGATCTGTTCACAAACTAGAGACATAAAGAATCCTGTTGAGGTCCTGGAGCTCATGGCAGTGTCCTTCATGAGTCCAGCTGAGGAACTGGAGCTCATGGCAGTGCCCTCCATAAGTCCAGCTGGAGGACAGGAGCCCATGACAATGTTTTATGCAAGTCTACCAAGGATCAGCACTGGGAAGGCCCAAAGGTCCGTAGTGGAAGCTAGAAAGACTGCACTAGCAGGATGAAGGATCTGTGCCAGCAGGCCGAGGGATCAGCACTGGAGCCAGGAAGCATTGCTCAAGGTAAGGACTGGAGCTGTCTTAAAAAGAACCACTGCCATCCTTAGCGACTGTGAGGACCCAAGTTCCACCACTGATGAGAACAGCCAGGCTCATATCAGGAAAACCAGTGCAACAAGCTTCTGCAGGAGAACCAACTGTCAGTAGTACATCATCTTCCCATTCAGTTCTCCTTTCATTGCTGGCAACAATCCTCACGTGGGCCTTCCACAACCAAAAACGTGCTGATTCATTTCGGCTGAGTGTTACAAGTTCCTCAGTAATCTATGACATACTATAACATGTTCCTCATTTTTTTAGGGTTATACAGTGTGATGATGGTGATTGTAACTGAGCTTTGCCTACATGTTCATGCACCTGTTTATTTACAAGTGAGAATAGGTCTTATGTAGTCTCTGTTAGCCTGGAATTTGCTGGGTAGCTCATTCTTGCTGTGGACCCCCAATTTTCTTTCTTTCTT